ATTTTGAGGAGAAGTTGGATGTGGATTAATGAAGAGGAAATGTCTTTGGCTTCTCTTACAAGGTGGTATCAATTCCCAGTGCCTTCTTTTCTGACAAAAAGAGGAAAATGGGCTCAGTTCTGGAGGTTTTTCTTTGTATATGAGGCTTTATAGAACTTAGAGAATCCAGTGTTTTTCTTGCTGTTTGTTGTTTTCTATAAATTAAGTTTAATTATGGTGTCTTCCCAGAAGCATAGTTTTGATATAGTGATTTTCTTTCTCTTTTGGGATTAAAAAGAAAGCTAAAGCTTTAATAAGATTTAAAACAAGAGCCCCTTTTTTTTTTCCCCTCTCTCTCTCTCTCTCAAGGAAAAACAATTTTAAGTTGAATTAAGACCAATTTCCTCAGATCATATTTTAAATAAAGGATTTTTTTTTTAAAGTCACAGTTAGGTCCCTTGAAGAAAATAAGAACATTATAAAAGAAGTGGCAGCCATAGTATTTTAGGTCTGCCAGACTTTAGGTGCAGACTTTTCAAACTGATAGGCTCTGATAGTCTGTAGATATCTACCAAATAGTTTAATTTATCCAATTTTTTAAATCTATAATTCAAATTTTAATGGAGTAGTTGTGATTCAATAAGTAAAATAATTATCAGATCAATTTTTTTAAATATATTTTTTTTAATTGATGTTTTACCGAGAGGAAGAGAGAGGGATAGAGAAACATCGATGAGAAAGAATCATCGATCAGCTTCCTCTTACCCCACCCCTATGGGGCTGTTCCCATAACCAATGTACATGCCCTTGACTAGAATCGAACCTAGGACCTTTCAGTCCAAAGGCTAACGCTCTATCCACTGAGCAAACCGGTCTCAGCTAGATCAATTTTTTTAATACCAAGGATATGATATTTTATTTATTTATTTATTTATTTATTTATTTATTTATTTATTTATTTTAGAGAGAGAAACATGGATATGAGAGAGAAACATCAATTGGTTGCCTCTCGTAAATGCCCAGACTGGGAATCAAACTCCACAACTTCTGTTTGTGGACAATGCTCCAACCAACTGAGCCACACAGGCCAGGGCTCAGATCAAATTTTTAGCATAACATTCAAGATTCTATACAAGCTAACAAAATCTCCACTGCCTTCAGCTCCTGCCAGCTTTGCTCTGATCAACCAATTTTTTTAAAGAATTTGAATTTGTTGCCAGCAATTTTCTGTTTCTGTTCCACCTGATCCTTTCCCCACACTTGAATTTGCTCCACCCGAGAAACACTGGGACTTTCTTGGGTTTAACATTGCATTATGGTGAGGGGTGAGATAGATGATGACGGATGCTACGGGTTGACTGGTGTCCACACAAAAGATGTTGACGTCCTAACACAGAGTACCTGTGAATGTCACCTAGTTGAGCAATAAAATCTTTGCAGATGATCAACTTATGATGAGATCATTAGGGTGGGCCTTAATCCAATATGACTGTGTCCATATGAAAAGGGACACTGAACATGGAAAGAGGGAGATCGTGTGAAGACGCAGGGAGGTGACATCTCCCAGAGCAGGAAATCCTAAGGCAACCAGAAGGTAGGAGAGAACCTTGGAACAGATCCTCACATCTTTAAGAAAGAATCAACTTTCAACACCTTCATTTCAGATTTCTAATCTTTATTACTGTCAGACAATACATTTCTGTTGCTCAGGGACCCAGTTTGTGGTACTTTCTTACCACATTCCCTAGAAACTCATACAATACAGGAGGGACCTTCACCATCACCTTATAACAGAGAGGAGTTCCAGGACAGTGCCAATGGAACCCAAGGCTTAAAGGTTGAAGTCAAAGCACTTGTAGTAGTTTTTAACCTTTAAAAAATTCTATTCAATGGTAACAGAGCTAGAAAACAAATATGAGGCACAGAAAACATCCTATACTTAAAATTTCAAAATTGTGCCTTCCCCTTCCATGGATCCTTACCTCTGAAGTGACGTTACCTCTAGCTTCATCCCCCAGAATATTTATTCACAAATGTCTTTCTGATGTCCATCCCTGATAAATGTGAGTCTCTCTTAAATGTAAAAGCCAAAGAAGGTATTTTATTTTTTAATATTAAAATTGGTATCTAATTTAACACTAATTTCCCTATACCTCTGCCAATCTTGAGTTTCACCAAAACTCCGATTGGACCTCCTCCACAACCTTAGTCAAACTCTTCAGGGAAGCCGAAACCAGTTTGGCTCAGTGGATAGAGCGTCGGTCTGCAGACTGAAAGGTCCCAGGTTCGATTCCAGTCAAGGGCACGTATGTTGGTTGTGGGCACATTCCCAGTAGAGGGTGTGCTGGAGGCAGCTGATTGATGTTTCCAACTCTCTAACCCTCTCCCTTCCTCTCTGTAAAAAATCAATAAAATATATATCTTTTTAAAAAACAAAACTCTTCAGGGAAGATCTGTAACATTCCTTCATGATCTGCTCCAGTGTATCATGTTAAACAAAACTGTTCACAGCCAAAAGCCTTCCCAAAATAAAGGGTCTATTGAGCTGTATGCTGACCAGAGAAGCCACAGGTATTGGGGATGAAGTCTGAACCAGTGGCGGTAGGGCTCAATGGAGGTGACAACACGTCTGTGGTCTTGGGGTTGATGGGCTTTTCTACACCTCACGTAGGGGAAGGAAGATGTAAGTTGCTTAGAAACAATTTACATGAGCTATAGGTAGAGGGGCTGTAAGAGGATGAAGCAGGGATAGTTATGGGGCAGGCTCATTGTCCACAAGGGAGAAGTGTTTGTTCCTTTGGATTGGTCAGGGGCAACAGTCAAGAAAGTTTATGCATAAGCAAGAAGCAGAACCACCTCATATTCCATGGTGTCTGGCTGTTCTCTTTAGGTGATTGCAAAAATAGCCACCTGAAAATTAATTCCAACTTACACTTAGGAATGTAAGTGGCCTTTTGTTTGTTTTTCCCTGCAGTTGTGAACAGATCCACTTTTCTTGTCTCTTCCACCCTCAGGCCTGCTGTCATTTAACTTAGGATGTCTCTGGATTTTCTCCTTGTCAATCACTTACTTTAAGAAAATTCTTTTGGGATGCCCCTTGAAACCATAGTTCAAAACAAGCGTTTGTTCTTGCATTATCTTTAGTAGAGATAAAAGCTGATAAAATAAATCTATGTTTGTTGGGGAAAACGTTTTAAGTTTATTTCCCAGTCTTTATTAAATTACCCTATTTCTTCTCATCTTAAAGGTTTTGACTTTCAACTTTTAGTCATCTTAATTCGTAGGGAGGGATCCAGCAACAATTTCTCCATGTATGATATATGTTGTTTTCCATAATGCTGTACCAATTTACATTTCCAACCGTAGTGAATTTTCACCGAAACAGTATGGCAATTTCTCAAAAAATTAAGACTTTAGTTACCATACCATCCAGCAGTCCCTCTTTTGGGTATCTAAATGAAAAACTTGAAATATTTATTCACAAATATTTTTACACAAAGATGTATATACCTTTATGCTCATTGCAGCATTATTTACCGTGAGTGGCCAAGGCATGGAGACAACCAAAGTGTCCTTCGATAGAGGATTGGATAAAGAAGTACTACTTAGCCATAAGAAAAGATAAAATACTGCCACTGTGACAACATGGATGAATCTTAAAAATACTATGCTAAGTGAAATGTCAGAAAAAGCTTAGAACCATGTGTTTCACTCATATGTGAGATATAAAACCGAAGCTCATAGACACAGAAAACAGTGTAGTGGTTACCAGAGTGAAAGGAAGGTATTAAAGGGTAAAAAGGGCCAAATATATGGTAATAGGAGATGATTTGACTTTGGGTGCAGAGCACACAATGCAGTACATAGATCATGTATCATAAAAATGTACACTTGCCGAAAACAGTTTAGCTCAGTGGATAGAGAGAGCATCAGCCTGCGGACTGAAGGGTCCCGGATTTGATTCCAGTAAAGGGCATGTACCTTGGTTGTGGGCATATCCCCAGTAGGGGGTGTGCAAGAGGCAGCTGATCGATGACTCTCTCATCGATGTTTCTAATTTTCTATCTCCCTTCCTCTCTGTAAAAAAAAAAAAAAAAAAATCAATAAAAATATATTTTTAAAAATGTACTCTTGAAACATATCCAATCATATTAACAGATGTCACCCCAATAAATTTAATCAAAAAAATCCCAAGGATGAAAAAGTTTAATATAAAGAAAAGATATAAACTAACCCTTGGAAATAAATTTTTAATGCATCAAGTAGGAATAACTACTTATGCACAATGAGAGGAAAATTTTTCACCATAAAATTTCTAGATATAAGTTAAAGTCTCAGCATATGTTTCTCCTCAGATAAAAATAACATAGACAGTTCTTTACTATTCTCTTTTAAAAGAAGATACAAAGACGTGGTAAAACTATTTTGCTCACTATGTCAACATTCCTTTGAGAGGAAAGATAGAAAATGATATGATGTTGTGAGTTCTTTAATTTAGCTCTTCAAAGATTGAAAAATGTTTTGACTGGCAAAGACTCTTTTACTGAGCTGTGAAACTGCCTGTCTCCCTCCCAGACTCTCCAGGATACAAATGCATTTCTAACTTCTATAAAATGCTACTTTGATCATTTAGTTCCTTGGTCAAATTTTATTATAGCTTTTTACTGTGTTTTTCAGATCATGTCTATACTTTTCAAGATTTTTTTTCAAGATTCTTGATAATCTCTATCTTTCCCAAATTTTTATTTCCCATTTTCCCATTATAAAATGTATTACCTTTATTTTACTTTAGTAAAATAGTCCCCTGTCAATTCCAATACACATGGGTTTTCACACACAATATACTCTCTCTCTCTCTCTCTCTCTCTCTCTCTCTCTCTCTCTCTCTCTCTCTCTCTCTCTCTCTCTCTCTCTCTCTCTCTCTCTCTCTCTCTCATGCGTGCACACACACACACTATTTCATATTCTGGCCATGGGATTCTTATTTATACTTTTTCCTTTTTCTGATGTCTCCTTATATGTTTTCTTCTTCTCCTAGCCAGATGCTAAACTTCTTTAAAACTTCTATTTGCTTCTAGGAAGTTCTGTGTCTCTGTAGAAAACTGCTCTGACAACATTTATCTCAATTTTCCCTGCTACTTATGAACAATGAAACTATCCAGTGCTTGATTAAAGACCATTTTTATAGTGCTCTCTAATCTTTTAGAGGCTATATTATAATTTTAAGCTTTTTAAATATATATATTATAGTCCTGAGCACATAAACAAACATTCAATTTCAACAATCCCCTTCCCTCCTTTCTGTAGAGCGCTACAGCAAAGACTTATATGAAGGCTGTACAACCTCCTCATATGAAGAACCCAAGCTACCAAAAATGTCCATCAACACCCATCTGCTGGGTGGACAAAGGCAATCAGACTTACTGGCAGCCACCATAGCTATCACCGTCCCTGTGGCCCAAGAAAAGAGGAAGCGGCCCTCCCCACCATCAGATCTCCTCCTCCTCTCTCCAAATCTGAATTCTGTGAGACCTGGTTTCCAGGCTCTGATCCATGACAACTCTTCATAAAGCCTGTTTTCTTCAGTAGACTTTTGATGCAAGATCCTCTATTTGTCATCTTCCGTGTTCTGACCTTCATAATACTCATCTCTTTTGACTTCTTTTACTTCTTTTCCAAACTCTTTCCTGTGTCTTCTGAAACTCGGCCCAACACATCAGTTAAGTGAACATTCCTTTACTTTATTATATTAATATAAACTTGACATTTCCAAATCACCTCTCCTGAAGGTTTCATAACAGATATCTCAGGGTCAGAATGTGTGATTCCAAGATCCATGTCTTCCTTATTTTCTTATGCCACAGCTGGGCACATGACCCAGCTTTTCATAAAAACCAACAAACAAAAAAACCCACAAAAAAATATAGCTTTGTAGCTCCTGCCAATCTCTCCATTTTTTGCTCTCTTCCATTAATCTCTGTTATGATCATTCCAGAAACCCCTCTTTGTTATTCTCATAGTAGAGTATGCTCATTAGATTTCCCTTAACAAAGTTTTACACAGAGCAGAAGTTTTCATTTTAATGAAATCGCACTTGCCAGTTTTTTTTCCTTCATGGATCAAACTTTTGATGTTATACTTAAAAAACTCATCACCAAAGCCACCTAGTTTTCTTTTATGTTTTCCTTTAATCATTTTACAGTTTTGTTTTATGTTTATGTCTATAATCCACTTTGAATTAAATTTTGTGTAACCTGTAAGATTTTTGTCTTACAATCTTTTTTTTTTTTTTTTTGCATACAGATGTCTAATTGTTCCAGCATTAATTGTTGAAAATATAATTTTTTTTTCTCTATGGGATGCCTTTTGCACATTGATCCAAATCAGTTAACTATATTTGTGGTTTTTTAAAAAATATATTTTATTGATTTTTTTTTGTCCCCTGCCCTCCCTCCCATACATACCCTCCCTCCCCAGAGTTTTATGTCCATTGGCTGTACTTATATGCATGTATACAAGTCCTTCGGTTGATCTATTATCTCCCCCAGATCTCCCTCCCCTCCCCACTGTAATTTGACAGTCTGCTTGTTGATTTACTGTCTCTACATCTATCTTTTGGTTCATCAGTTTATAATGTTCTTTATTATCCATAAATGAGTGAGGTCATGTAGTGTTTCTTTTTCATTGATTGGCTTATTTCATTCAGCATGATGTTCTCCAATTCCATCCAGGTTGCTGTAAATGATGAGAATTCCTTATTTTTTATGGCAGAATAGTATTCCATTGTGTAGATGTACCACAGTTTTTTGATCCAATCATCTGCTGACGGGCACCTAGGCTGTTTCCAAATTCTGGCTATTGTAGATTGTGCTGCTGTGAACATAGGGGTACATATTAATATATCCTTTCTGATTGGTGTTTCTAGTTTCTTTGGATATATTCCTAAAAGTGGGATTACTGGGTCAAATGGGAGTTCCATTTTCTGTTTTTTGAGGAAACTCCACACTGTTCTCCACAGTGGTTGCACCAGTCTGCATTCCCACCAGCAGTGCACAAGGGTTCCTTTTTCTCCACAACCTCTCCAGCACTTGTCGTTTGTTGCAAATCAGTTAACTATATTTGTTTGGGACTCTCTATGCTCTCTGTTCTGACCCATTGATTTATGTGTCCATGCTTTCACCAATACCATGCTATCTTGGTTATGATAGCTTTAGAGTCTTTAGTCTTGAAACCAAGTAGTTTGAGTCCTGCATCTTTGTTCTCCTTTAATTGATACGATTACATGAGTTTTCTTCCTTAGCTTGTAGGGATGATAGATTACATTGATTGATTTCTGAATGTTGTACTAGCTTTGCATTTCTGAAGTAAGTCTTTCTGTCCTCAGACCCCTGACCCTCTCATCTTCTCCCTTCTCTACAAACAAGCTTCACAGCCAAAAATATGACCCACCTACAACTCACATTGTTTCCTCTTGCTATAAAGGAGAACATTGTTTCTTCTCAAAGCTACTGGAACTCCCTCTCACCCCCTGCCACCCACACCTCCACTCTGACCTCAGCGTTTCCTGCCTTAGTGACATTCTTTTGATTTGTCACCATCCTTGTCTATGGGGAAATATCTCTACCCATTTCATATTATCTTGCTCAATCTACAATATATGCTTCAAATTGGACCAACTGTCGCCACTGTAGCCCACTGGGAGGCACTTGACCCAGCCTTGGACAATTGTAATATTCTACTCCTGTGTTTATAAAGGCATCTGACCAAAGCAGGGCCTGATCACTGTCCTGGGGAAAATGACACTCTCTTTTCCGCTGAAAAGACTGAAGAAACATGCAGAGGCAGAGATGAATTTGGCCCACTCAAGGAGCATCAGGAAAGCCAGTGTGGCCGTAGGGTGAGAACTGCTGCTGTAGAGGCTAAGACCATCAGAAAACACAGATATTTACATTACGATTCATTAGCAGTAGCAAAATTACAGTTATGAAGTAGCAACGAAAATAATTTTATGTTTGGGGGTCACCACAACATGAAGAACTGTATTAAAGGGTCATGGCATTAGAAAGGTTGAGAACCACTGCTGTAGTTAGTCCGGGGGAGGTGGTAGGAGGTCAGTCTGAAGAGGAAGTTGAGCCAGATTTTCAAAACATAGCAAAGAGTTTTGATTTGATTCCAAGAAAAACGAGAAAGAATTGCAGGGGTTTTGTTGGGAAGAAATGTGATCTGATTCACATCATTAACCTCGCTTTCTTTCTTGAAATGCTCTCTGTTCTTGGATTCTTCTGATTTTTCTCTTACCTCTCACAGCCTTCCACTCCTCTACTCAACTTCTAACTACAAATCCTTTTTTTGGTTCCTATGCCTCCTTCTATTTCACTCCTCAGTATTTCTTGACCCACACCCCAGGGTTTCTATGACCCATCTTTATTCTGACTATTCCCAAACTTAGGTGTTTTTAAAATATGTTTTTATTGATTTTAGAGAGAGAGAAAGAGAGAGGGACATCAGTTGGCTAGCTCCTGCACGCTCTCTATTAGGATCAAGCCTACAACCCAGGCATGTTCCCTGACCAGGAATCTAACCTCTGACCTTTTTGTTCATGGGATGATGCTCAACCAACTGAGCCACTCCAGCTGGACAGCCCAAACTTAGATCTTGAGTCAGGTCTCTCTTTCTGAGTTTTAGCTTTCACATATCTAATTTCCTCTTTGACATGCCCATCAGGATGCTTGATAAGCACCTCAAGCCAACACAAAAATAACCAATTTCATAACCTCATTCTGAAACCTGCCCCTCCTCAAGAGAACTACCTCTTAGTAAATGGGACCATCCACCCACATATTCCATCTTTGGACTATTTAAAAACTTTATTTACTCCAACTGCCACACATTTGTCAAATCTGGCTGCGTTTCTTTATTCTCACCACCACAATGTATTATTGCTAACTGCCCTAACCCCATTTTCCATTCTGTTTTCAAGCATAATCCATTCTACACAATGTAGCTCCATCTGACTTTTAAAAACAACAACCAGCCAAAACCAGTTTGGCTCAATAGATAGAGCGTCAGCTTGGGGACTGAAGGGACCCAGGTTCGATTCCAGTCAAGGGCATGTACCTTGGTTGCGGGCATATCCCCAGTAGGGGTGTGCAAGAGGCAGCTGATCAATGAATCTCTCTCTCATCGATGTTTCTAGCTCTCTATCTCTCTCCCTTCCTCTCTGTACAAAATCAATAAAATATATTAAAAAAAAAAAAACACAACCAGAAATTATGCCACTATCTCCACCTAAACACTTTCCTGACTTCTTATTGCCAGATTGTAAAAGAAATGTTCAAGGTCTACCAAGCCTTTCGTGGTTTGGTCTCTACTTATGTCTCCTAATTCTTTACCTACCAATTTCATTTCTACTCCAGATACCAGCCACACGGCTCTTCTTTCATCTCACTGAAGCCACCACTCAGGTATCAGCCTTCATCATCTCATGTGCTGCACCCTCTGTGCTACACCTCACCTACCCCACCGCTACTGGCCCTGTTTCCAACTCTATTTCTTCTCCGTGCCTCAGGCTAAATATCACTCATCAGGGATATCTCCCATGATTCACCTCTTTCCCACTATAGAATAGATTTGATCTCCTTTTACTTTTCCATGGCACTCTGGATGTCTCCTTTGTGATGGTCACAGTCTTCATAATTGTCAGAAAGTTAATCTGTGTGTCTGCATTGTTAGGGATTTCAGGGAAAATTTGGCTGGGACCTATCTATGTTAAAGGGCAGATCTTGAAACTTAAAGATAACTGAATAGATAGATAGTAAGAGACTTACCTCTCTGGAGATACGTGCTTTTTTCAAGGGATGATAAAACTCTGGGGCTTGGAAACATTCTAAGAATTGTAAACTCAGAGAAACTTCTGCTGTATTCTAAAGGGTAAAGAACAAAGGATCCTTCTTATTCTCTTCCAAAAGAGAGTTCATGTGCCTGAGGGAGCAAAATTTTCTCTCACAGTCATAGGAAGGGAGGAAGGGGGGACAGCCATCCCTCTTCTATATTAATTCTCAGGTTTTTAAGGGTTTCTTCATTCTTAGCACAGACCCCAGTAAGTATAAGGTTACATTTGGCTCTCACTGCATCACCCTATAAGAGGAGGAAAAGTTGGAACCAAGAGAACTGATGTAAATTTTACTACAAAGAGTTTGTCCCTGCCCCCAGAAATCTTGTATCTAACCCTCAGGATAATATAATAAATATTGATATTAAAACATATCATTTAAGACTTAATCTCTATGTTCACAAATAAACCATAATGTCCTTGAGAAGGGAATCTTTGAGATTCTTGATGGCGTTTTCAGTGCTTGACAGCATGTGGTGCTTCAGAAATCTTTGTTGCTGCTTGTTGAATAACTAAGTGAATTGCCTTGTTGCTGGAAGAATGTCCAAACCTGTAGAGAATTTTTATGAGTTTATTTGAGCCAACCGACGACCATAGTTCAGGGCACAAGATCACAAGTGCTGTGAAGAATACCAATTTTGCAGTTTCTTTTATGCATTTGAAATTAAGGAGGGAATATAAGGAAGACTATATGAAGATGGTAAAAAAGTAAGGTATGGACAAGAATAGTTAATTAGATTATGTGTTCTCTAGGTGGTCACTTTTATTTATTTATTTTTTTAAATATATATTTTATTGATTTTGTACAGAGAGGAAGGGAGAGAGATAGAGAGTTAGAAACATATATGAGAGAGTCATCTATCAGCTGCCTCTTGCACACTCCCTACTGGGGATATGCCCACAACCAAGGTACATGCCCTTAACCGGAATCAAACCCGGGACCCTTCAGTCCCCAAGCTGACGCTCTATCCATTGAGCCAAACGGGTTTCAGCTAGGTGGTCACTTTTAGAAGCAGGGATCTGAAAAGAGGCATTTCAAAAAGGCTCTAAACTAGATACACAGAAACAGTGGACACGGCTTGTTTAAGGTAAAGAAAGGCCTTTTACTAAAAGTTATATGCCAGTTGCATGACTACCCACCAAGATCTAACCAGTTAGGAAGTTATGATCAGGTCACCCTATAAGGTTACTTTCCATAAAACCCTTTTTGCCCACAACCTCAATGCCTGAGAAGTCAGTAGCAAGTGAGAGCTGGCTTACCAATGCAAAGTAGATAGGACAGTCTGGTCATACTGTCTGAAGAATCCAAGGGCCAGCAACTGTGCTGATGTGACCAGTAGCAGTGTTCCCTGTCCCTATAGATTAGTTGTGGGCTCCTCATTTGCATGATCTAGCTCTGATTTGTTGCTGTGCTTTTTACATTTCTCAAAGAAGTACTGTGTCCTCAGAGCAAAGTATACAGCAAACCACTGGAGTATATGACACCTTGAATCAAACCCTAGCTTAGTCCTTTGACAGAGGCAATTTACTAGATTCTTTGTGTTCAGTTTATCTGTAAAATGGGTTAGCCGAAACCAGTTTGGCTCAGTGGATAGAGCGTCGGCCTGCAGACTGAAAGGTCCCAGGTTCGATTTCGGTTAAGGACATGTTCCTTGGTTGCGGGCATGTCCCCATTAGCGGGTGTGCAAGAGGCAGCTAATCGATGATTCTCTTTCATGGATGTTTCTAACTCTCTATCCCTCTCTCTTCCTCTCTGTGAAAAATCAATAAAATATAAAAAAATAAGTAAAATGGGTTAAATAACAATATCACAGATATTGTGAGGATAAAAGAAGTACATTTATGTAAAGGAGTTATATAATGTACTGTAAGGGAAAATTAATGTAAAATCATTAGGAAAATACCTGTCACATAATAGATTCTATATATATATATTTTTTGCTTACCTAGTATTCAATTTTAAAACAGTTTAGAGAGAAGAAGTCTAATGAAACCATGAAATTCCAATACATGAAATTCCTATTTTTGTCCAAATGAAAACTACAGGTTTTTAAAAAATAGATTTCATTGATTATATATGAGAGGAAGGGAGATGGATAGAGAGTTAGAAACATTGATCAGCAGTCTCCTGCACACTCCCTACTGGGTATGTGCCTGCAACCAAGGTACATGCCCTTGACCAGAATCAAACCTGGGACCCTTGAGTCCCCAGGCCAACGTTCTATACACTGAGCCAAACCAGCCAGTGTGAAAACTACAGTTTGAAAATCAGTCAACATTATAACCCATAGATTATCTTTATCTAAGAAATCATTTCTTCAAGTTCAATGGTAATTTTTACTCCTAAAATAATCTCCCCCAAATTAGTACATGGTAAGTAAAATCTTTCTTGGAACTATCTGGATTATGGAAAAATAAGAATCACATCTGACTCTATACAACTAAAAATACAGGTATATTTTTAGTTACAAGGAACTATTGTCAGACGTTCTTAAAAAAAAAAAAAAAGTAAGAAAACATTCTCCACTTTCCAACAAGCCAGGGAACTGTTTTCAAAGGCTTTTAAAAATTCATGTTTTTGTGCTTGTTTTTGTTATCATTTGAAGGTCTCTTTTCACAAGATGAAATATGATATTTAGAAGGGCAAAGAGGCTGTCTAGAAGCAACTGAAGCCTTATTGTTCCTTTAATAGCTTAAGTCTCTTGTTATCCATTTGACAAACAGTTATCTAGGCAAAGTGCTGTTTGTCTATGTGTTGATTTATAATGTACAGTGAGTCAGCAGCTTCTTCGAGGTGCTCAGGGAGACACAGCCTTGAGCGGTGTCCTGAAGGGATCTAGAAGAGTTCATAAATCTCATTATGTAACACCTGGCACCACCATCCACCCAGCTTTTGATTGGACATCATTACCAAAGACATCAGGGTCTGAGTTTGACCTTTGCCTGAACAGGTTTTAGCCTTGCTCAGTGGTTTCAGGTCACAGATCATACTTTGACCTAAAAGTCTAACCTGAAAGTTGTAATTGGGCAAGAGGGCATATTAGAGCAAATGTGTTATCAGTGATATTGCATGTTTACCCTGTATGAATTCATACCTGAAGCATGGTCCTTGATTTTTATTTCTATCAACTTTGTATAGGAGCTTAGGATCCAGCATTTAATACTTAAATAACACGACTGATACACATTACTATAATAATAGTCATATAAGTTTTATGTGTGAAAGACTGTTAACATGCTTTACATTTATAAACTCATTTTAATTTTTTTCACCATCCCTATAAAGAAGATGCTATCATACGATCCCCATTTCATACCTCAAAAAACTAACACACAGAGAGAAGTTCTGTAATTTCCTGTAGCTGTTGAGTGTCAGAGCTTGGATGGAAATCTAGACAAGCCTGGCTGCAGAGTCTATGTGCCTGACCACTGTGACACTCAGGTGAAACCCACTGTTTTCACACAGCAGGCAACACACCCAGATGGTCTCTTTAGTCATTTCACGATTGATTTCTCATTTGAGAACATTGTGTTAATTGCTGCATTGCACTGTGTAAATAAACTGACAGCACAATGCATGATCTGAAGATTTTAGCAAACAGAACTGTTTTGATCCCTTTACTATCCCAGTAAATGGCTCCTTGATGCCCCAGGGACCACATCCAGACATTCAAACTGTTTTCAGTTGAGTTCCAACTTACCCTTCCCATCCTCTCCCGAGACACTTTCTTCATGGTCTTTGCATTTCCCGCACATAGGTTGTCCTCTTTCTGTCTATTCACATTAGCCTGAAATCACTTTTTTTCTTTGAATTTATACAGCAATTAATGATAGTGTATTTTCCTGATTATGTATATTAAAAATTATGGCATCTCCTCTATTGTTGATTTGCACTATTATTAAAATCTTTGGTTAACTTCTCACATATTTGTGTGTCTCTAACTCTTAATAGAACTCTGAGTTTCTTGAAGGCAAAGACCTAATCTTAAGCCTGAAATAAAATGCTTAATGTAGTTTGCATTTATATATATATATATTACACCCATGATCCATCTGGAAAGAAACATGAGTCTTTCCCAGATTGAGGAGAAATGATGAGGGTCATTAAAAATACTATTAATATGGGTTGCTTTGGTTTCAGATCAGTACAATCATCTGCTCACTTAGGAATTGTTCCATTGCTATCTTCTGTATTTCCAACTTATCAAAAATAAATTAATCAAAAAATATTGTTCCATGTCTACTCTATAAGAAGCAGGCTTAACATTATGGTTTTATTAAGTATGTGTAATTCTTGGTCCTGGATTGTATGGAACATGCAATCTAATTGAGTTTCTGGATTTTACATCTCTATAACATTTAACTAGCACCCTTAAGAATTATGTAATAAATACTAAAACGGTCCTGATCATGTGAGAGTTTAGAAGAGGAAGTTGAAAGAGAGGGCACTTTAAAATGGGATGCTCTGTCTATGGGAGTGGAATTTGAATTGGGTCCAGAAGTTGAGCAATATTTAGAAAGAAAGAAAGAAAAACAACAACAACAACAACAACAAAAAAAAAAACAAAGAGAGAAAGGGTATTTCAGGCAGGCATATTTACAATGAGCAAAAGGAAATATGTTTGTTTTATGTTTAGAGGACAATATAATGAATAGTTTAGTAATGAAAGATACAAGTTGTAAGGTTGACCATGTAGATTGTTTTGTACGAAACTAAATATTAGAGTCTTAAACACTGGGAAGCCAGCACAGGATTTTGATCTTTTTAGTAAGTATAAGAAGTCTACTTTGGACTGAAGAGATATTGAAGGCGGGGTATTCAGTAAAGACTCACTAGAGTAAATAGATTTTAAAAACCTTAGCATTGGAAATGCCTTCCTTAAACAACTAAATCTCATTTAGGTAAAAGAGAAATTTTGAGTTAAAATAGGTCAAGAAAATTGCTTAAGAACATGGTATAAGGTTTTTCCTTTTGTTTTTAAATTTTATTTTATTTTTAGATCACAAACATATAATTTCAAAAACATTTTGTTAACCTTAAAAATGAGTTTAAAAGTCTGAGTTAAAGGCAACACTATGAGTTACTGAAGTATATTTTTGGGCTAGAAAGACATTAAAGGGCATAATTTAAATGGAATTGATAAAAAAAAAAAAAAACCTCAAGACTTTGCCATTCAATAGGCTATTTGTCTTAGATATTAAAGCATCCTTTTAATTTATGGAAAATTGTATGCTAATAAACAATTCCTACTTATATTGCATTATTTGATAACCAGTATTGTGTTATTTTTATTATGTCAAACAGTAGCAGTAAACATGAGAGTGATGCCTGATAATTCATTGACAAACTATTATTTTATTGCTGGATTTATCACTAAGAGCTTACATCATTTTCTCATCATTTAATAAAGTCAACATGCTTTCTTTTTAAAAAAATATATTTTATTGATTTTTTACAGAGAGGAAGAGAGAAGAATAGAGAGTTAGAAACTCTGATGAGAGAGAATCATCAATCAGCTGCCTCTTGCACACTCCATCCTGGGGATGTGCCCGCAACCAAGGTACATGCCCTTGACCGGAATTGAACCTGGGATCTTTCAGTCTGCAGGCTGACGCTCTATCCACTGAACCAAACCAGTTTTGACAGTCAACATGTTTTCAAGGTTATTGACATTTCTGTTGATTTTGAGTGGATTTTAATGTTTATTTGCAGTTGGATAGGAACTGAAAAATCTAATTAAAAGACAGTTGCTCATTTCCATTAAGCCACCATCAAATATGGATAGTAATAGTCCCAGGTGAACAGTGAGAAGAATAGTGATAAAACCTGAAAAACCAACCAATTTGCTCAAGAAATTTCCTTACTACTAATAATTTTTATCCATTATTTAATTTCTTTTGAAATATGTGATCATTTCCAGTGGCCAAAGGCCATCAATGGAGATCAACATATATAAAAAAAAAATCAATTGAAACTTAACTTTTGGAAAAAGTTGGTTTAGAAAATTATTCCAGAGTTTCTATAATGTTGTAAGACTCCTTACCATTTAAAGCAAAAAATATTATAAAATTTGATGTGCATGTTTTTAACACAGAATTCTAATCTGCCCTTAAATGTAAGGATATTGTTCTATAGGCCAAATTTTATTTATGTATTTATTCAGGTATTTACCCAAGGAATGTTTATTGAGTGCCTAAGTAACTGTGATATAAGGTAAAAAATGAAACATCCAAAAAAGATATATATGGATAGAATGCTAATAGGGACAGCATATCTTTGCTCTAAAATTCATAGTTGGGGGCCTAGGACCTTTTTACATAAGCACCTGTGGAATTATGGAAGTCCTTCAATTCTTTCACCAGGAAAGACCAGGTACAGTTCCATTGTTGGTACACACGTAAGTGTAAAGTGCAATACCTGAAAGTATAATAGGAGAATATTTAAAGAAATTATCAAGGTCAATGTTCAAACAAGCTACGAGTTCACAATGATTTCTCTCTCTTAGTCTTTGCACGTGCCATAGTAGCTAAGATCAAACACTTCTACCATTTTTCACTAGATTTGGAATTTAGGAGAAACAGTATGAGGATAGTTCTGATTCAGCCCACTTTGTTGGACTTGAAAATTAGTAGTTTTGGGGGTACACACATTAACTGTGTTAGAAAGATAGGTGTGTATAAATGGAGGATTATAGGACTTGATGTCTTCTAGTTTTTATGCAAATGTGGATGCAGATTCTGAATCTATGGAGTGCACAAATTCCATACCTCCTACACAGCTTAATTCAAGGAAATTCACAATTAAACTCCCTGTGTGTGTACGGGCTTGCCTGTGTGTATGCATATGTGCATGCGCTTCCTTTAGACAAGCTGGAGTAAGTTGAGTGTCCTCAGTGAAGGTTTTCAGTGTAGTTTCTTTAGGGTTTAATATTTTGGTTGATGGAATTTTTTATTCAAATAATGATTATGCTGACAAGGTTTTATGGTTTAATTATGGCAAATTCATCTCACTACTTTTATTTTATTCTAATTTCCCCTTCTTCTAACTCTCCCTTCTTCCTTCCTTCCCATCATTTTTCTTTCTACCTCGCCCTCCCCTCCCCCCCACACACTTTTTTTATTTGCAAAATTTTACCAATAGGGGCATTATGGAGGTGGGCAAAGGATATTGTCTAAAATAGAGTAGGATTAAATTAGTGACAGTGTGAAAATAGCAAAGATAAAACGTGCCACCACTTAATTTAGTAATTTGTATCCTATTGCTACCTTACATTTGCACTGTTGGTACACACTTAAGTGTAAGTGCAATACCTGAAAGTATAGTAGGAGAATATGTATTATTCAGATATTTAATCCAGAAGTTATTGGGAACCTAGATTATCTAAGTGATTATTTTAGTGCCCTACTGTATTTGTTATGTAAATACAGTTATGAAGGGCAGCTTTAAAGTAAGTTTACCAAAAATATATAGAGAATATGTGCATCACAAAAATGATTATTGAATAAATCCATGTATATAAATATACATTGTACTAAGTGTTATTGGGGCATACACAAGAAAGCAAAGAACAATTAGAAATTTCTGGACTGTTATAAAGTACTTATATTTTATTTAAAAATTAGGATTTTTAAATTGCTTTCAATACTTTTTAAAGGCTATACTCAATATGTAGATAAATTAGCATTGAATGTAAAGTAAGGAAAAACCGTTGCTTCAAATTCTTCTTAGAACGTTGCCATTAATTTGAGAAAAGAACTTGAAAAGAGGTCTACTCTTATAATAAAAATATTTATTATAAAAATTATCACATTTCTCTGTACATAACTTAAAGGCAAAAATACAATTTATACATTAATAATTTAAGTGGGTCTGAGCATCAGCATCTATTCAGTAGAATTCTAAAGCTCATCTGTAAATTTTACAAATACCAATGTAGTCTATTTCTATTTTATAGATCTCCATTTACACAGTTGATGTCATCGAGATACCAACATTTCTTTTTCTCTAGTGTTTTAATAATAGTTCATGGTGTTTGGGTTAATTAATCAACTGCTTTAAATCTTTGGTAAACATAAGTATTTACATGCAAAAATTTTTAAATTTCAGTAAAAAGTGTATATTCAAATAATTTATTGCAAGTAGTTTTGTGTAAGTAACAAATGTATGAACCGGAATCCCATCATCAAGGAAAATCCCTACCTAGGACTTCTGATGATGAAATTTGAAATTTGAAACAAATGGTTTGATGCTTCTATGGCTTCTATCAGAAGCACCACAGCACTAGGCCATGACAAAATTAAATGTTAAGTTTAACTCATAGATAGTACTGATTATTTTCCAATGCACAAAAGTCTAGTTTTTTCTATATCCCAGTTTAAACTTCAATTTGAAAAACATGAGTTTATTATCTCATTAAAAACTAGTATCTTGCAAAATTGAGAGCCATTTTTAAAAAGTCATACTGTTTTGAAAGACACCAATTCATCTCTTTTGCCAATATGAACCATTTCTTGAAGTAATTTGTGGGGGATATAGCAAAATGCCTTTCCTTTTCTCCTTCCTTCCTTCCTTCCTTCCTTCCTTCCTTCCTTCCTTCCTTCCTTCCTTCCTTCCTTCCTTCCTTCCTTTTTTATTTTTCACTCCTTCTCTAAGGAGTGCCCTGTCAACCTGCATATTATACCTGAACTCCCCCAAAGTATTATACTATACGCATTGCAGCGGTCATTCATTAGCTCTCAATGCCATTAATTCGAAACGAAAATATTCTGGCATGAAAACTTCTTCTTCCCAGGCTCCTTGTTAAAAACATTCCAAGAAGTATTAATGTAATGTTATTAGATTATTTGATACTTAGGAATTTTTTACACACGTGTATATTCTGGAGTGTAGAGTATAATTGAATACATACAAAACCACATCTTTTTGAACCTAGAAAATGGATGTCTTTGGATTGCCACCACTGCAGGGTAGAGCACAGGCCTTCTCTCTGAATTAGGTTCTGATGCATGATTTCCTTCCCTAACGTCAGTTTTCCAACCTACTGTGTTATTTACCAACAAGAGAGAGTTTTGCTCTCACTTTAGCAACTCTTCTCCCCCTCCAACCGCCAACATTCTGAATTCAGTGCATATTTTAAAATTCGCCCAAGAGGAGGTACCTGGCCATAAGCTCACTTACTTTGTGAGGTGTGAACAGGGGAAGCAGCATAATAAAGGCCCTGTATTTACCAGAAAAGGCTATCTTCTGCGTTTTTACAGAGGCTCAAGGCCTTAGCTGCAGCTTTTAATAAAACGTGTTTGACTTATTCGTCAAAGTGGATGTTATTTTAGTCACCAGTTTTTCCTCCCTAGAGCATGTCATTATATATAAAATGTACATTTACATACATTTCTAGTCATAGGGTATAAACCAAGCCCCCCTCCTTTGAATGGCAGGAAAATGCTATTATAATTGACACTTGATGATCAATAAATACTAAGATCTTATGACATTAACCAGAGGTCTAAACTCTAAAACATCAGTCTATTGAAACTGACAGCCTATATCTTCACTGCACTTCTTTTCCCATTCCTGTTGATGAAGCGATGACAAGTTGAGGCTTTTATCTTATTTGGGTTTTGATATAAACCCAAGCATTATTCTCCATTTGAAGAATAAAGAGCTGGCCACGTGTGTTAACTCCTGTCGTCCTGCCCTGTGCTCTCCTGGGTCACAGGAATGAGCTTTGTTCCTCTTCCCCTCCGTGTCCTGGTCAAGGAGTTTTTGTTGCTGTTGTTTGAGGGGGAGGAGTCCACATGCAAACATTCAGAAAGCAGCACTGGCACAGACCCACTTTGATCCCTTAGAATGCCCCAGCGTCCCTCTTCACACAGCCACTTTCTCCTTCGCCAGGTTCTTTGGTTCCTTGCTTGGGATGCACCAGTCGTCAGCCTCAGGGTTCATCTGATAATGCTTAAAGGCTGATTTGTTAAAGACCGGGAGTTTCTCTACAGACTCAGAAGACAGAGCCTGGAAAGGGAATGAAGAAACAAGTCAAACCAAAGGAACTATACAAGGCCTCAATTGTACTTGATTATTCAAAATAAAGTCAGAGGTAAGTTGTCAACCATTCAAGTATATTCCTTTAATTAATTTAGCAATAAGAGCATACCAGAGCCCATAGTATGTCAGGTACTGTATAACAGAGAATTAAAAGGAAATAATATCTTTACACTATAGGAGATGAAATAGAATGTGTACAATTGAAGTTAGGGAATAGAAATTGTGTTCAATATTCCCACATAGCCTTTGTTTGGATATTACCAATATGATAGAGTTGAATAGCAAAGCTATCCTGTCCCAGGAAAACCATTTCATCTGTGACAAAGCATTCTAATCTGACACCATAAACCTATGAGCTCTTAATATTTCCCAAC